CTTTGACAAGGGCATTGATGATAGCCATTACGACTCATCTCGTAGGGGTCTGAGGGCTGCTCCGAGGAGAAATCAATCGTCCCCGCCGACCATGGGGGAACCCGCTCATCTAACACCTCGCCAAATATGGGCTCAACCAACGACAACGACCACCAGGACTTATGAAGCGGACTGCACGCCGTTTCTATTACCCAGCTCCGGTATGTGGATCTGTGTCTGGGCCTGAATGCGGCCCGTCAAACAAACTCGCTTCCGTCCGGTTACACTGACGCGGCGCTTCGGCGGCTGCTTTGCAGGTTACGTCTATTTGAATCGCTCCTACTCCATCGCCTTGACCGAAAATGCCATTTACGACCCCATCTGTACCGGCACGGGCACGCCAACTGCCACGGCCCATGCGGTCGCCGCGCTCGATGTTACCGATCCTTTCTATTCCTCCGTTACCCCGGCGCTGTATGCTATGGGCTGTACGACCGTTGTCAGCTATCTTCTCGTTATAATACTTCTCATCACGCCGCGTACGTTTTATGTTGGGGGTCCTGGTGGTGGTGCAAATTTTCTCGGTCGTCATGGTATGATTAGCGGTTCGTACAGTGGTAATTCGTCGGTGGTTGGCGTGGGTGGTCGGCCGTGGCTGCAAAAGGTCGCGGCCTTGTTAGTCGCTGTATCACTCACCATTGCGACTGTCGACTCCTTTCGTGTGGCTGAACAGCAATATCATTATGGGTACTCCGATGCCGAAGCGCTGGCAGACGAGGTCATCGACGGTATGGAGATCCGGGTGGTCAGAATCATTTCCAGCACCTTTCTGTGGCTGGCCCAGATTCAGACCTTGATTCGGCTGTTTCCTCGACATAAAGAGAAAATCATGATCAAGTGGGCAGGGTTCGCGTTAATTGTGTTTGATACCACATTTAGCATCCTCGACAAATTCTTGGTCAAGACCGACACCGTTCATCCGCGGCTATACGAGGACGCGATTCCCGCTCTCAGCTATCTATTCGAGCTTGCGCTTAACCTTTTGTACGCCGCTTGGGTCATCTTTTATTCGCTTTCGAAACATCGATTCGCCTTCTTCCATCCGAAAATGAGGAATATTTGCCTGGTGGCCTTGCTCTCGTTATGTGCGATTCTTATACCCGTTGTGTTCTTTGTTCTGGATATCGCAAAACCGAAAATCGCCGGATGGGGTACTTATGTTCGGTGGGTTGGTTCTGCTGCAGCGAGTGTCGTGGTATGGGAATGGGTGGAGCGGATCGAGGCTTTGGAACGCGATGAGAGGAAGGATGGAATACTTGGACGCGAAATATTTGATGGAGACGAGATGTTGGAAGTGACCCCTTCGGAAGAGGTCGATTGGCCGCGCTACAACCCTGACGGCCATGATCGAGGTGGAGGCGGTGGAACATCTTCAGGCTGGGGAGGCATGATGGGATTGGCTCATCGACCTTTACGTACGAGGGTTGGTCGTAATTGGCAGTCGAACCTGGAGAACCAGCAGCACAACATTCCCATGGACCCTCGGCGCCGGCGCATGGCGCCTCGACCAACTCCTCCCCCAGCAGCAATAACGCCTGTTAGTCGCGCTGACACAACCAGCGCGGCCAGCACGGTATACAACATACATTATCATCCGGTTTCTAGTCCCACTCCGCCGGTGGCCATGCCTCACATGGAGGAAGAGGATGAAGACATAGACGAAGCGGTGGCGGCAAAGGAGATGACCACCGACGGTCAGCAAGCCGGCCTGGTGCAAGATGCGCTGGCACAACAACAGACCCGGGAGCAATCCCCTCAAATTGTGCACGTGGACAAAAGGTGGCGAGCGCTGCTCAATCCTTTCAAGCGAAGGCGGGCATCTCTACCAAGAGAAGTCGCTTCTGCACAGGCCGAGGAAGAGGGGAATCCCGCAGGTGCTCAAATGGAACCACAGCATCATTCCTTGGATGACAGCGACGATGAGCACAGCTTGCATCCCAGGCATGATTTTCGGTTTGGCTTCCATCGACGACTGCGACCTGGTTCTGGACGACAAGGCTCCGACTCTCCCTTGCCAGTCACGGTTATTCCGGCTAGACGCCGCGGTCAACAGACCTGGTCGCCGCAACAATATCACGAGCCTAATTCACGAACAACAAGCTCGAACCAGCGTGTTCCGCCGGGTCGTGATGACCTGCCTGTGAGGGTGATTCAGCCGCAAACGCGAACCGCCGCTCCATGGAGCGCAGCCGATGGACAAGGGTTCAGTCATGGCAATTATGAGCTGCGATATGATCCTGAAGCTGCAGCGCTTGTGGAACCTGGTGAGCATGGCTCTGAATCTCAGCCGGCGCTGGACGCCGATGGCTCGGTCAGCGAGCCTACTCGGGGGCCGGCTGTGCGCCAACAATCCGAGCAGGAACTCGACCCGACGGAAGGAGCACCTATATCACCAACCCAACCTCTTCCAGATGAGGCTCCTGAAGAATCACGAGGGCCACATGGCCAGCAATGACGTTCACGCGTAACGTGTGATTGCCTGCGTCTTCCTGTCTCGAAACACTCCATTTCGCTTCTGTTTCGCATTTTCTGCCGCTGATGTCTGATTTTTTAGCGGGGAGTATTGGAGATCTTGGGTACTGCCGGATGGTCTACTACTGGAGTTTTTTTTTTCTGACACTATTTCTTCCGGGTCAAAAACTTGCTTTACTTGCTTTCTTCAATGTTCGGTTTAATCAGGGGCTTGGGCTGGGCTGGGCTGGGCACGGTTGTACGCATAGGCTGGTCTGGATTGGTTGGAGCCCTCCATGTCTCAGGCGACTGCACTGTTGTTGATGTACAAAGATACCCTTGGGATGCATATATCACTGATCTTTCCTTCTTATACATGTTGTTATGGCATATTAATGCGACATATTGCTGTCTTCGGTATGAGTATAGTAAAAGAGTAAGCTGTGATGAACATCCCAGTTGCCACCGAGTCGAGAATGCCGGCAACCCCGGCAGGTTCAGCAACCCCACACGTTACGAGATGATCAAAGTATATTTTTTCCCCAGTTGTGGGGACTACCTTAACCCCGGAAATGCTTTCGGGGGCCGGAGTTGCGCTGTTCGGATGGACCTCTCGGTTTGTGGTCCGCCGACCCGATGGTCCCGACATGAGGCTTTGTATAAGTGCCAGCGTTTGCATCCAACCAGACTAGCATCAGCATGCAGACTTAATCGACGTTATTATAGGATGCATTAGTATATGCCGGAATTTAACATTGTCATTCAACACTAACTATATAGCACACTAAGAAGACACCAACATGGGTACGTACTCCCACAGTGGATCTATGCAGCGCATACTAAGTAACTACGAGGTATAGGACTAACACCCGTCCACTTCTTCTCTCATGGCTCGACCATGATGCTCGGCGAAGAGTCCACTTCAGCCGACTACTGGAAGAAATGCGGCGACGAAGCCCTAGCACAAGGCATCAAAGGCGTGGTCATCATGGTACATCATCACCCCTGCTTCCCTATCCCCATCTAGTATCACCACTAAAGTCAACCCCAGGGCGCCCACTGGGCCTGCCACGGCGACGGCATCGAAATCTCCACGAACCCTAACCCAGGCAAAAGCCCCGTCGCCTACGTCCACCCGTCCAAATACGTCGACTACAAACTCAACCCGGACCTACCCACCTCCCACCGATGCATCTCCCTCCTCAACCAAGCCGGCTTCAAAGCCTCTGGCAACGACACCTTCGAATGGATCCACGACGTCTACCTCATCCTCATCCGCATGTTCCCTGCCGCCTGTCCACCCACTACCCTCATCTCCTCCAACGCCCGCTACGACCCCCACTACCACATGAAAGTCGGCTCCACGCTGCGTCACCTCCGTCGCGAGAACTACCTCATCATTGGCACTGGTGGTGCCGTTCACAACCTCTACCGGAATCGGTGGGCGCCGATGCTGCGCTTCCGTGATACCTTTGCGATGGAGACGCCGCCGGAGGACTGGGCGTTGGAGTTTCGTCAGGCGGTCGAGGATGTTATGGTTAAGTGTTCTGGTGGGCCGAGGATGAGGCGCGCGATGACGAGGTTGATGAAGCATCCTGAGTATAGGGATGCGCATGCTACGGATGATCATTTTATGGCGGCGCTTTTTGTGGCGGGCGCTGTTGGGGAGTGGGAGGATGAAGGGAGCAAGGTTGTGCTGGGGGCGGAGACTTGGGAGTTGACGAATATGTGTAATTCGCAGTTTACGATTGGGGAGTGGAATAAGCTGGGTTAGTTGGGGAGTTGTGTGTTATGCTGATATGTTGTAATTGTTAAGCTGATTTACGAGTAGTATATAGCATGAGTGGCCTGCTTAGTACTTCTCCCTTTCATTGGCATCAATGCATTTCTCAAGAAAATACCAGTACTAGTTAGGCGGTACTTACTGGTACCAATACGATCTACCTTTGCACAAAGTCAATATATCCCCCGAATCTGACAGATGGGTTCGCCGTTGTCATCGTTCTAGAAGGGAGGCTTGGGAGATGCAAGTCATTTCAAACCTTGATATGACCGGCAGCAGGACAATAGAGCAGGGATCTGATTGTTTCACAATTGAGCCCCAGACTGGAGGATACAATCAGAGGGAAATTCCGAGCACAGCATATGCTCTTGTAGTAACCTGGATGTTGTAACATGCTGTCTCCATAGTATAGTTCCTATCAGGTGGAGGGGAGTCAATGTGCCAACTCAATTACTTATCCTCCTTGCTTCTCACCACGTGTGATCGCCCACCTCACATCTGTCAAACTGGCAGGGACTTTTTCCTCTATTTCAATTTGAACCAATTGTGCAGATGAAGAAGAGGGAGAGGGAACTAAATTCACTTGAGGTCTTAATTAACTTTAATGACCTTTAAGAAAAAGAGGAGACGGGATCCTGACTCAGCAGTGGAACATCGAAGAGTTTCCGCCATCTGCCATCCCGCGATAATCCTCATCGGAAAGTTACTTCGACTTCATCCCGCCCCAGTCGGAGAGCCTCTGTCCCTCTGATAGATGTCTCGCCTGGCTTATCTCCATCCCCCCTTGTCTCTTCCCCAGTCCATGCTGCGACCCTATCGCCCCTGGGCGTCGCATCATGGCGGCTGTCAACCGGAACATGTTTGAAGCCAGCGTCACCACCGATCGCCCCCAGGGCGCTCCGCTAATGATCCTACCACTCAACTTAATCGCGGTCATCGTCTCTTACGTTCGTCTAGCTACTGCTCTCATGGATGGAGCTTGTGCAACCCACTAACCACCTCGTGCTCTCTTGCAGGTAGATGATCCCGGCGATCTCGCCCGTCTCTGTCGAGCATGCCGCGTTCTCAACTACATGGCTCTCCCCCAACTCTACAAACACATCACCTTGACCTCCTATGACAAAATTCGATATCGCGACGATGAACCCGAGGGTATGGGTAGCGCCAGCCCTTTTTCCATGGGTCTGAATGCTATCATCACCCGTCCCTATGCTACGCTCGTTCGATCGCTTACGCTTCGAGGCAACTGGCGGGAGCTCGAGCTCGAGGAACATGCGCGCGTGGGTCGCGTGCCGGACTCGTCGATGATGCTGAACATTGCGGTGCGTGCAGCGGTCGATCGGATGACGGAACTGGAAAGCTTTAGCTGGGAACTCAATACCAAAATGCTGGAAACTGTCTATCTTGGGCTGGCGCAGCTGCCTAAGCTGACGGCCTTGACTATTCGCTTTCCTTCGAGTCGACATCCCCGCCCAACCATCGTGATTCCACCCATGCCACATCTGCGGTATCTAAAGGTTACCGACATTGATCCGCTTTGCTATCCAGATGACATCTCCACTCTGGTGTTCAAGTGTCGCAAGCTACGCGAGCTCAACATGCATTGGTCTCCCCGCATGCGCAATGCGCAGGAGCCTAGTGTCATGGTTCACGATTACTTCCGCAAATGCATCGCCGCGAAACAACCCCTTTCAATCAAGAAGATTGGCCTACAGAACCTGTACGCTTTGCACACGGAGGATTTCGGTCTCGCAGTGAATAGTACCACTATAGAAGACGTGACCATCCTCCAGCACGGTGGCGCGGATCTTTCGATGAACACTTTCGTGGATAGCACCTGGCCCACAATGCCGGCTCATCCCATTCGTATTAAATCGATTCGGCAGGATGCCGTGAGCAAGAGACATGCGCAATTCCTAAACCAATTTACCGGTCTGGAACGGTTATACTTCGTCAACGCCACTCATAATCCCAACGATGATATCAACTCCCCTCGACCTCTGACTTCTGCTGCCGCACTCTCTCCCCCTTCGTCTGACACCTCTCAACCCGCTACTAATGGTACTTCCACCAGTTGCTCTGCCGCTGCAACTAACTCCCCCGGTTTGCAAACAAGCGTCCGGGACGTATACCTAAACAACATCACTCTGAATCATGCAGCCACCTTACGACATCTACTACTCCCCGCTCGCTGGCCCCTATCTGCACCCACGGTCGCGCGCCTTGTCCACGCCAGTCCGCAGTTGGAGCAGCTTGGCTTCGCCACAGAATTCTCCGGCCTGGAAGCATTGGGGCTTCTTCTTCCATTCCTCCGAAATCTAAAGGCCTTGCGTCTCCTCATTCCCACCTGTACCTCACCATCCGAGACGGCTCGTACTGGGCCGCCCCCTAAGACATTTAAATACTTCTCTCCGTCTGCCAATGCACTCACCGCCGCCCGGACGCTCTCCGACATTGTGGAAGCCGACGACGACACCTTGATCGCGATGCTTAGCGAATCTCTTGCAGACCAGCAAATCTTCCACCGGCTGAAGGTCATTGGACTGGGCCGCAAGGGCTTCCAACTAGGAGACTACTACACCGTGCCAGCCAAGCAGGCCGTAAACCACGGACACGTCCAGCTACAGACACCCACGGGCTCCCGCGCCACCAGCGCAGAAGCCAACGTAGGCTACGACAAGAGCCCACCAGCCGAGAGACCCTCCCCAACAGCCAACGACCATAATGCAATGGTGCCCTCGCAGCGAAACGGACATGTCCCACCTTCCGTACTAGGCAAACGGACACGAGAAGAAGACACCCCCACCACAGAACCAGGAGAAGCCAACCAGCCGGCAGACGAGCAAGCACCCGACCCAGGCATGAACCCGTGCCTTCCGCAAGTCGTTCATCGCGACGGTCGCTACTGGCGACGGCGTGTCCGACGCGTTGGCTGGGAAGTGCTGCAGCATTGGGAGATCTGGGGACTGGACAAACAGGAGTTATGAATTTGGCGTAACGGTGTCGATAAATACAATACCCCCTGGGAATCATCGCGATTCTTCCTTTTTCATGAACAATATTTGAATTTAATTGGGCGACTTGCGACATTTGTCGGAGTTTCCTACTGGGATTATATATAGCATGCATGCATGCCCTTCTAACCGTAGGGTTAGGATGAGCATCAACTTGAGCTGATGCTCGGTTAGTAGATATTATACCATAACATAGCAATATGAGCAACGATAACCTCCTCTCTTAAATTCTGTTCAATATATTCACCAGCAGTAGTAGTTGGAATTTGCAATATACTGAAGGGGACTTTAGTTGTCATTGACCCATGAGTTCATCATGCACCAGTAACTACTATTTCCCCAAATGAACATCTCTTCCCGATACCCAGTAAAAGTAAGGAGGAGTAGGAGTAACAGCAGACACAATACTGTGAAAAGTATCTATCTACTCACAAACATCCGCCTCCTCCTTCATGATTAATAATTACTATTCCAGTTCTACCCCCCCCTTTTTTTTTTTCTTGATAATAATAAATACAACTACAATAGACCTAATAAGTAGCAGAATGGAATCGAATCAACCACTGCAATGCATATATATATATCGATAGTTGTATTACCCCGCCCATCCCCACCAACCTTCTTTCCTAAGTTACTAAGTACCTTCTATGTATAATTCTAGCAGAAACAAGATACTTTGCATCAGTATTGGCTAGTAGTAGTACTTGGTAGTGATAAGTAGTAGTGCTTACTACTAATCTTAGTGTGTTCATCATGTGAGACCAAATATATAAGGTAAGATATACTACTATATATATAATGGCTAGCTCCCATGTTGCCACCTTATGTGAATATATTTAGTCATACTAGAACAGCATATAGTACGCACTAGTAAGTAATTACTCCTCTCCAATACTGAAGTGATTAAAGGAAGAGCGTATATAATGATACAATTACTAGGAAGTCGTTCATATGTGGTTATTATGCGGGTGGCATATTGATAAAGTTGTATTGCTGATTCTACTGATAGCTTTGTAGATCATTCTCGATATTGTTTAAGTTTTGGGGTTATACAGTTACTATTTATGTTTGCTAGAGTTGGTTGACTACGTATACCCGATACTCGTCATAAGGCGATACTAATACTAATAAATAGATTTGTCCTAACTATCAGAACGGTGGGGATTTTCAGTACTAAGGGGGTTTGTTCATCTTGCGCCCACAGCGAGCCGTGAGCTGGAAGTATATATTCATCACGTAGATACATTCACATTTCATATGTATCAAGCTTCATCATATATGTACGGTTCATCATCAATATCAATATCAACATCATCACCATCATCTGCTATATGTCCCCATGTATCCCATCGACGAGGGATCGATCAGCAGATCAAATACCCCGATTTTTCAGTGTTGATCTAAGCCTGAGCAGCGAAGCCGAGCTTAGGACCCTCAGAGTTGAAGACCACGTACTGGCTCTTCAAGAACACATCACCCAGGATGGACAGTCCGAGACCGCTGTTGCTCTGGATACCGCCGTAGCAGGTGGAGCTACCGGTCGAAATGGGAGCGTAGTTGATGTACTTGCCAGGAACGACGGCCTTGTAGTCGCCGATCACGACAGTGAAGTCAGGAGGGGTGGTTGAGCAGGAGAAAACGTAGCCACCAGCTTCATAGCTCTCCTGGGCGCCATCAACCTGCTCGTAGTAGGCGGAGACGATCTCATCGTCGAGGAGGATGAGGGTGGTACCGGTGTCTATACACTAATCAGTAAAGAGAAAGCAAGAGAATCTGAAAAGGGCTCTTACCAGCAATGGCACTGAAGCCGCTGGAGCTGGAGCTGCCGTCTCCGATGCTGTAGCCGTCGGTACTGAAGCCCCAGTAGCCCTGGGAGCTATCGGCATCCGTGTAGGTGATGGAACCGGTGTACTTAGAGTCGTCGATGTAGCCGAAGTCGTAGACACCAGGGGCGTCGTGCTTCAGCTGCACGGCGAAAAGAGGAGAGTCCAGCTGAGACTTGACGGTGTCGAAGAAGGTGGTCTGTGCCTTAGGCTGGACTGTGTATCGGTCAGCATTTGGTCAACCCAGCTGATGTAGGCTTTACTCACCAGTGTTGATGGAGCTGAAGGCCAGTCCCAGAAGACCATCATTGGCCGTGTCCTGAACGAACTCGGAGCTGATCTTGCTGGCGGCTTCAACGGCCTGCTTGTTGGTGGTGACACCGCCAACAGTGACAGTATCCCGGTAGACGTCTCCGCTGGCCGAGCTGCCGTCACCGTAGGAGATGTCCCAAGAGTAGCCGCTCAACTTGGTCGCGCTGGAGCTAGGCGTGTACAGATCGTGACCAGTCTGCTCCGAGGAAGGGAGTTCGTCCGAGAAGACCCAGCTGGTTTAGGTTAGTGACAGTTCGTCAGGACACATTAGCAGGGGAGCTCACAGATCTGCAGATCCGGTGTCAAAGTCCAGATGAAGGGTGGACTTTCCGACAGTGACGGGAGTCAGGTACTCCTCGTCATTGTTCTGGGGCGTGGTCACGGCACTACCCTTGCTGGCAGCCTCCTTCACGCTCTGGGGCACCGTACCGCCAAACTTGGCCAGGGAACGGGCATACAAACCCGGCAAGTTGACGGTGCGGGTCTTGTTGGCAGGCCGGGCAATCTGGTTGATGGTGAAGCCCTTGCGAGTGGGAGCCGGTGCCGCAGAGACGGCGGTGGACAGACCCAGAACGAGGGCAGCGGTTTTGCTGAAGACGACCATTTTGACCACGAGAATGTCAAGCAAGAGAGTTCGGAGAAGAGATAGAACCAGACAAAGAAGCCTTAGACTCTTGGTTGATGAACAAGAAGAGACATTCTGCTGGTCGAGCAGACTCTTCTTATACTTGCAAACCCTCCCCATTGACCTCGATCAACTCATCCATCATCTAAGTTGACCATGCTCTTCAGAGCAAAATGTCTCAGTCCCCGCCATGGCAGCCGCGATGATGAAAGGAGATAATGTCCCTTCCAGGAATAAGCCGACGAAGATCCCCGCACGTCCGTCCAAATCCGTGTCGTCCGTCGCCCGTGAGGATATTCGCAATTGCCAAGACAGAGCCAACCGGAGGCCGACTCGGTGCAAAGTAAGACATGCAGCCCTGGACCCTGCCTTAGTGGAGACAGGCACGATGTTACCGCGGAGTAGATAGCAGATTAACTGGCAGGGTCTGACGGATAGAGACAAGAGCTCATTCGACCGTGGGGGCCGATCACGATAGCACTGGTGCAACAGGTCTGCAGGGCTAGGCTAAACTGCTGAAGGATAGATATCTTAGGCGCGGATGGGCATAGATTGCGCTCCACCGCCGATCGCTCAGGGTCCGTCGGGACTCCGGAGACGCCATGCGTTAGCCAACATCCAGTCACACGATTCAACTTATCTGCTGGCACAATGTGACAGTCAGACTTTGGCTATCGCGTCTTATCAGTGGTCTAATTTAGCTCGTCGCTGCCGCTGCCCCTGATGGCTCGGGGTTGGCCGACCCATTGGAGCTCGACGGGATCTTTGCATTGGGCCAATAATTTGCAGATGGAGGGTTGGGCGTCCAAGGACATTGTTGGTTGGTGGGCCACGATGGAGAAGCCGTGGCTTCATCCTGCGTTCCTCCTCACGATGGAGACAGAAAGGGAAAGAGAATGTAACCAGAAATGGCGCACTCCGGCGGTATCCGTGGGGATATACATGTCTAACAATCAAAAATCACAAGCCAAGAGCCGGAGTGTACAGAAAGGAACTAGCAAGAATCCAAGAAAAGGAAAAAAAAATACTACGCGTGAATTCGTACATTCATGAGACCATCGGTGATCACGATTGCAAAAACTGGGACGGAAGGTTCCCTCCGCCAGCCGACTCAATCCCCTCATGACCGTCATACTGTTCGTTCAGAAGCACCTCCAGCATGTCGAATTCGCCCACCATGGGGCCCGTGCCTCCCAGACCCTGGTCCACCACAGCCGTCGAACTGTTGAAAAACTGGTCGAGTGGCAGCGCAAACCAGTCGGGCAATCCGCCGGATGTGCTCGGATTGTCGTGCATCGCCTGAGACGGAACATTAGACCCATCCAGCTCGCCCGCCGGCGGAGTTGCGCTGGGGTCATAGTAGTTGTAGTACACCGATGGTGGAGGGGGCATGAACGAGACATTGATGTTGGACGAATTGATCGGCTGGGCAGGGATGCCGGCCAGCGGATCATGGACAGAGGCCATGCTGGTCCCCGTCTGGCTATTGCTATCGACATATCCCAGGTTTTGTGTCGCACTCTGCGCTGGCGTCCAGGCATGCGCTGACCCCTCCCGACGGTTCTGTGGCCCTTCACGCGGCCGCGGCGACTGATGCCGTGAGACTGGCGCTGATGGGCGTTCTTGTTCACCGTCGCCACTGCGGTCCAAGGGCGCGAAACGCAGAAAACGCGTGCGAATGCTGGTGGTGAGCAACTCGAGCAATCGCGCAATTGCGTGGTTTAGGTGGACATCGTCAACTACACAGGTCTTCAAAGCCTCGATGGTGCGATCTTGAAGATCCAGCGACACACGCACATCGTCTTCTTTGGCACCAAGCGTGAAAGTCTGGGAAAGCGTCAGCGGAGCCACAAGCTTATCGAGGAATCGATGAGGCTCACCTTCAAGATAAAAATCATCCCGGAAAGGATACGAAAGCACGTCCGGACAGGGGCATGCTTAAGGTGATCGCGCGGGACGAGGATTTCGAGCACGGTCTGCAGGATCTTGCGGGAGGCATCGACCACTTCCTGGATGTACTGCTCGTTGACACGATATAACTCCATGAGCACATGGAACCAACCGGTGCCCGAGGATGGACCAGAATTCGGGCGCGCATTCTGGGCCTGAGCCGCCTCATTCGACATTGTCGTCCAGCGATCCACCACCGCCTGCAAAGCCAAAGAGTTGACATAGAGTCCTGAGAAAGTCAGCAAGTCGGACGCCGTAACCACATGGATCAGCTACATACGGGTATATTCATATTCAATCATCAAGATACACCGCATTGAGGGGGCCACTGCGTACATCTATTAGCAACCGGCTAGCGTCCAACCCACGAGGTAAAGAGCACTTACAATCTATTGTGTCAATGTTATGTCGCCACTCGCGCAAGAATGGCTGGAAGCGGTCAATCTGGTCTCGGTAACGACCGCTGCGAATGAGCTCCGACGTCTGCTCACTCGACGCAAATAAGAGTTGATTGCTCTGGTACATGATCTTGGAAATTCCAATCCAGCAATCGTGCATCCGGTCAACAATGGTATCTGCCCCATTGGCGGCGCTGGCTGACGTAGGCTGAATGTCGTTGGTCCACTGAGGCAACGGCAGCATGGACGGGATACCCAAGCGACCACTGCTCTGGGTGATGTACACCAAAATCAGACGCCGGAGTCGACGTTTCCGCGTCTGCTCGGATGGGGATTCGCCCACAGCTTTGGCATCGCTCTTCTGGTCGAACACTCCCAGTTCAAACGCCAACGCTTGTGCGGTACTCAGCAACATCCACGACATCCGGTCCGACCGCCATGCGGGCTCCAGCCACTTCTGGAAGGCCAGCCTCCCTTCAGCAGCACTGTTCGGAACCCGGTTGGCCGTATTGTCAACCTCTGTTTCGAGTTCCTTTTCGTACCGACTTTGCGTTTGCGCGTCCAGATCCAGCAAGGCATTTTCGTCGTCACCGGGCGGAAAGTGAAGGTTCCGCGGATGCCAATCCGTCAGAATCAGCAGCGCCTCGATGGTGCCCAGTGATCTCAGGTTGCCCTTGTGGCTTATCTTTGACGAAGTCGGCGCGAGATCGAACGAACGAGGCCCACTAATCCCCACGCCGTTTCCACCAAACTTCTCCTGACCCCAGAACAAACGTTCAATCATGCCGCGGAGGTACGACCACAGGCGGTCATGGATGTAGAAAGCACGCGTATAAGCTCCATCGCCCTTGGGCTTCATATGCCGCGATGCCGTCGTAAGAATAGTCACTGCGAGCACTGGCTCGTCTGTAAGCAACGTCCGATGAGTGGACGGATGCGAAAAGTCCGGAATCACAATGGGACTAAGCGGGGCGAGATGCTCGTAATAATATGCTACATAGGCCATCGACTCTTCCACGGACAACCACCCTGCACGAACAAACCGTAGTCGTGACCAAGCCTTAACCGCATCCACGAACCCAGGGTCCTGTGCCGTTTCTGCAGCATCCGCCGGTCCACGACCATCGGGAAGTCGCGCATCAGCGGACCCTGATGCGCCCGCAGCATAGTACGTACCGCCAGGCACTGTCCCGGAGCGGGGTGGTCGAGAGAACGACCCGCCTCCACTCCGAGGCGTACCAGCCTGCGTGAGCGGAGACATGGGCGAATTGAATGATGAAGCCGACTGGCGCGCAGCATACCGGTTCTCCAGGCTCTGGCGGTTGAGATCTTCCGTCCGACCAGCCGCTTCTGATAACAGGTGCAGTGCATCATGACTGTTACTGATGGCCGGCGACAACAACTCAACGGCGGTCCGGTTCATCATGGGCTGGCCACCCTCGAGGCTGAAGCTCGCCGCATGACTCCGCTCCGCAGCCGAGTACATGGGCAGCCGCGTGCTTCTTGGTTCGGAGAACGGCACATTTCCGGACGGCGACGGATTAGAAGGAAAGCGCTGGCTGGGCGTCGAAGACGACGGGAGCTGCTGCGTATTGTTCGTGGCCGGCGACTCCTCGGTCCATTTTGGTCGGGAGAGACTAGCACCGTTATCGAAAGAAGAGGTGCGCTCGGGCGCATAGGATGAGCCTCCATCACTGACGGATCCGCTATTCGAGATGACCTCGCCCACCATCATCCGCTTATCGCGTCGCAGAACGGCCTCGGTGGGCTCCTCCACTTCGGAGGGCTTGCGCTTCCGCCGAGTAGCGGAGAACTCGCAGCGCTTGCTCTCGCGGCGACATCGTACGCAGGGCGGGGGACGGGGATTATCGACACCTGCGGGGGGACGAATAAGCATCAAGGGAAAAGTAACCGGGGAGAGGAGAAGGGAGGGGGGAAGGTTGATTAATCAGGGAGCATGAAGCGGGGGGAAGAATTGAGGGCAACTGACTGCCAAGGTCACACTTGACTTTGCGCTTCCGGCAAGGGTCGCAGGCCTGGTAACCACGCCGATGCTGGAGCTGCTGCTGCTGGAGCTGGGGGGAGGGCGATTTCGGAGCTCCGGGGTCGTGGGAATAGAGGGACTGAGAGGCTGAAGCAGCGGCGTCGTGGTGGTGCTGGCCGTTACTCGCAGGCGCCGCCATGGTTTGATGGAGAGTGGATATTCAGGCCAGAGGGGATTGCCGATGCAAAGCGACAAAAAGCGGTGGGGGGAAACGGCTTTTTTGTGGGCGAAGATCCAGTCGCTGAGTTCCAGATTCTAAACGGCGCTGGTCCTGGTTTCGTCCCGGCCCGGAAGTTCTCCGCGGATAACCAGGCAGCAAAGTAGCAAGCAACTTTTAGGGGGGGG